TGACAAAATAGCTAATGCTACTTTTTTTAATGTCCAAGATTCAACTAATCCTCTTGAGTTTTTACCAAAAGGGTTCTTGGAAAAGACAAAAGGGTTTGGTTTAGTGGTGCCTAATTGGGCCCCACAAACCCGAATCCTGAGCCATGAATCAACGGGTGGATTCTTGACTCACTGTGGATGGAACTCAACTTTGGAGAGTGTGGTCCATGGGGTACCACTTATAGCTTGGCCACTCTATGCGGAACAAAAAATGAACGCGGTTATGTTAAGTGAGGATGTAAAAGTGGCACTAAGGCCAAAAGTCAATGAAGAAAATGGCATAGTGGGAAGATTGGAAATTGCTAAAGTCGTGAAAGGACTAATGGAAGGTGAAGAGGGAAAAGGAGTGCGCAGTAGAATGAAAGACCTTAAAGATGCAGCAGCCAAAGTGCTTAGTGAAGATGGTTCTTCTACAAAAGCATTAGCTGAATTGGTTACTAAATTGAAGAAAAAAAGTGTCAAATAATTGATGTAGCTAGTCATTATTTTGTTGCAGAGGACCTTTCCCTGGTACGAGAGGACCAGTTATCGTGCCACAGTAAATGCTGCTGGGTTCAAAACTCTCCTATGTCTCTAGTTGTTCCATTCCCTAGTTAGTAATAATTGTGCTTTGCAATTGAAATGTTAGACATGTTTCGGGTTATGATTTTGTGTACATCTATGAAAACTACATATGAACTACAATTGAATTTGTTTTGAATTATATTCTTACTACTCTAATAGTGTATGTATGATCAACGTTATTAATTATTTTCTTAAAGAGCATATAAAAAGTCGAAAGGTGTACGTACTATTTTGATTAAAGGGGGTCTAACAAATTTATGTAGCTAGGTTATTGATTGTTGTATTATGAAGTAGTAGGTAAGCAGGATGAAATCATCAGTCATCAGCAAGAGAGGAGGACCTAACCACTAAGAAATTGTGTAAAAATCATGGTGGGTACTAATTGGGACTAAATGGAGTAGTGGTTGGCATTGACATATGAGGTTTATCACCAACAAGGTAGAAAGATATTTATTCTATGTGTTGTGTTGTAGTGTGAGTACAATTTTGCATGCAGGGACAAGACTACAACAACCAAATATGTGTGAGTACAATTAAGTTTGAGTGTTTATTTGAAAAAACGATATCAAGATTAAAAAGGACTATAGATATTAAGCCTTAAATGTTTTATTTTAAAATTATCTTTGAGATTATTTTCTAGCTTAAAAGTATCTCTAAGAGCAATGATTGACTTGTTAAACATGTGACATCACCAAACTGGTTCTAAATATTGTCATTAGAGATTTGCTTCTTTCATTAGTTACTAAGGAAAATCCTAGCATGGGCACTCTAACAAGTTTTACCTTTAACATGATTCACAGTTATCTAAGAGCATTGCTGTCGTGTAATATATGATCCAAATTAAGTCGGACTCTGAAGAAGTAAAAGCCTTTTCCAAACTTGTTTTCCCTGTACAAGCATCATATCAAATCTCAATCAGTACAACAAGAAAATATAGAAATTTATTTTATTTGTAATTATCCTTGTCTTTGTCATATATTTTGGACCAGGACCACACAAACACAAAGGTATCAAAATTTAATTAGATTTTATTGTTATCGTTACTCTTTCGTTTCAGACAAAAAATTATGTATAAATTATAGGAACCACATATTATAAGTACTAAATAACATCATATCCCTTCTAGTTTTCTATTTATCAAAAATCCCTTAAAAATAATGTTTGCGGAATACATAGCGTTGTGCACGGGATACATTAGGTTTGATACATTCCACATAGCGGGATACATAGCGTTGTGCATGAAATACATTAGGTTTTATACATTCCACATAGTGGGATACATAGCGTTGTGCACGGGATATATGCGGGATACATAGCGTTGTGCACCGGATACATGCGGGATACATTGTGTTTGATACATTCCACACAGCGGGATACATAGCGTTGTGCACGGGATACATGCGTGATACATAGGTAAAATAAGAGATTTTTGAAAATTTTGAAATAAGTAGTGATAAATGAATATTAAGGTAAGTAAAGAAGTGTAGTTAAGTAATTTGTCCAAAAATTATTGACCATCAGCCATCAAGATGGCCCAATATAATGTAGGTGATCAAATACACATATATATAGCAAAGTCCGCCATATTTTACTCTGATTTCTTATATATTTTCCACACGTTCTAACTTCTTATAATATCATTATTTACTTTTGTGGCTTATCTGAAGATACAAGTGATGGTCATGTACAACAAATAATAAGGTACCACGTCAAAAATTGAAAGCAACTGTTTTTTTTTTTTTAAAAAAAAGTGCATTTTCTAACTTGGTATTATAACTTTTGGTCTATCAGAAAACACAAGACAAAATTAGCACATCAAAAGACGAAGTCATGGTTAATTGCTTCTAGAACTAGAATATTACCCTAGCTAATATACTTTGCTCCACAGTCCACAACATAATTGACAACGTTTTCTGGAAGGAGAATTATGTCACGTCCTTAGTCAAGTTTGTCTAGGGGTGTCAAATGGACGCGTTGAATTGAAATTGAAGATATTAAAATGGATTGAGATAGAAATCGGGTTGGGTCTTGACCCACCCAAGTTTACTTTGGGCTCAAATGGGCTAAAAACCGTGTTGGGTCTTGACCCGCTTAATCTCAATAATTTTAACATAGTGATATTTAGCTTTTTTAATCACAATTTGAATTTCAACTCAAGATTTTTAAAAAAAAAATAGTAACAATTGATAGATAAATTCTAAAAGATATTAAATAGATAATAATTCATACCTTCAATATAGGAACATATCTTAATAAAGAGTTTTAAATCAGGTTGAAATTAAAGATTGAATTGGGCTCAATTGAGGATTCTCTTAAAATGGGTTAGGCTTGAATGAGTTGAGATTGAACCCAATTCAAATTATCTTGAGCCCAACCCTTAAAATTCTGGACGGATTACCTATGTTTGAGTTTATTTTTGACACCCCTAAGTTTGTCTAAAACACTAGAAATCGCTAGAAAATAATAGACTGAACACAAGAAAATTATTAAAGGAAGCCTTGTCTATATTACGGATTTGATGATTTAGAAATGAATTCCCCCCCCCCCCCCCAAAACCAATTTATATTAGTTATTTAGGGGATTCTGTGCAAATATTAATTGTTACAAAGTTCCTCAATATTTACTAGTAGTTAATTCCTTTTCTAGAATTTTTTACAAGGCTAGAAAATTTCAACAACATAACTTTATCTTAAAAATTTCATAAAAATCGAACGTCAAATTTCCATAGCTTTCTAGAACTTTTCCACAGGCGCGCCTCCTTGTAGTGTAAGCATCCCACGTGAGATATGTGTCAAATGACACCAAGGTAGAAAATTTCAAGAACGTAACTTTATCTTATAAATTTCATAAAAATCGAACGTCAAATTTCCATAGCTTTCTAGAACTTTTCCACAAGCGCGCCTCCTTGTTGTGTAAGCATCCCATGTGAGATATGTGTCAAATGACACCAAGGTAGTATGATGATGTAGCGGATCATAAAAAATGACTCATCTTGTATCAATTCACATAATTGAGGGGTATTTTAGGTATTTTTTCGTTCCTTGAATTAGGATGTGTTTTTTAGTATAGAAAAAAATATTTTCTAATTTTTCTCATATTTAATTTGTTTCAAAATATTTTGGAAAAAAACATGTTTTTGTTTTAAATCGATGGGGAAAATTTTGATATTTGAGGAGTGATGTGTGATGAACCCACACAGAAAATGTATACAACTCTACTTGGCATCACAATATATATTGATCCACAATGACAATATAATGACCTACAGATGATGCAAGTTTAATTTGGATTTGACTTTTTAGCTGATTGATTTCTCGAGTGTAAATATCAAAGATAAAATATAGTAGTACTGAAATAGTGCTTAATTATGACCATGACATTACACAATTGAGGGTATTAAAAAGACGTGTCATCATTCATGATAGAGAACTAAGCCTTGATTTATTGATTGGACAAAAGTTAGAAAGGAGTAATAAATTCACTGATAATGAATTAAATTTTGATAAATGTCCCACCAGGACACCACTATATTTATTAAATTATTACATGTTCATAAAATAATATACGAGCCCGACTTATTAATTATTATAGTATAGTATATGAAAGTTATCCAATTTGTTGTGAGATAATATCCAATATACAGTATGTAATTTCTTTATTATTTTGACTTTATTTTGGGTTTTGCTAAAATTCTGTAAATTTAATTATTGCTTTTACAGAATAATTGTTTTGAACAGAGGAAAATAACACGTGCATTATGCATACATCACTTTCATATTTTTCTTAGCATGGGCCCTTGGCCCTTTAAAAGAGACTATTCACACCGTGTGAGTAGACTTTTGGCTTCATGACTTATAAACCTTTTCCATTGATATTATGTATAATATGTATACAAGTTTCTAATTATTTCCTCCGTCCCATTTTAACTATTCTTTAATTCTTTTCATGTTCATTAAAAAGACAATTATTGTTTATTAAATTATTTTAATTTATTAGAATTTTTTTTGAAAATTGATAAGTATTAATACTGAAATGTGACCAACAAAGATTATGGTGGGATGAATAAGATCCTTTATCTTTGACCAGAGGTCTCGAGCTAGAGCCGGTGAAAATGGGAAAAAATCCTGTTAAGTAGTGCAAGTGAACTTACTCTTGAGTATGCAAGTTTGGGTGTGCCAAAGCTAGTAAGTACACACTAGGCCACTCTATTTTATGGTTACTAATATTGAACCAAGATGGTGGAGTTTGCATTTTCCAATGGTTGCAAATTCCTTGTACATGGATTATTATTTTATCAGTTTTACACTATGCACATTCTGAGGCTAAAATATTTACTTGATCGATGAGGATTAAAAATAGTCTGTAACATCTTTGTAGATGAACAATCACAATTGTGGGAGCAACATCAATAACTTTAATGTCACAACATTTGAATCATTATATCGTTCCACGAGTCTATTGGACCAGGCAAACACCAATGTAGACAATCATTCTGGATTTTTTTCTTCTTATTTTCTACAGCAAATGGCTGATATTGCCTGTAGACTCCGGGATGCCCGTCTGGTCTCAGCAGTGAAAGTAAGGTTGTGTCAAACAATTTCATCTTCAACCCGAATTCAGATGCTCTCTCGAATTCTTCCAACTCAACTCTCCGCATTACCTCATCTACATAACCAATATCAACCTCACCTTCTTTGAAAGGTCCTGTTCTGTTACAATAACCTCCAGTATTCCATTCACCGTTCTCAAAGTGATCGGGGGTAGTGGTTCTGAAAAATGTATAAGCCTTGTTCTTCGAGCTCGTGATGAATTTAAAAGTTGTATTCAATGCTTTGCGATAGGCGTAATCAAATCCCACCTGTGTAATGTTCTTACCAGGACAGTTGTGACAGCCAACAATCTTGTCATTCTCAAGATAAATTGTTGATTTCAGGTACCATTTGCCACCAGCGATAAATACATAATCAAAATTGTCGAATTGTTGAGTCCAAACATCATCCAGTTTGTCTAGATTAAGCTGAGTAATATCCGTTGAAACTCCATTGTCATCTTCAAAAACAGTTGATTTTGCAAGAAAAGGTGACCAAATGACAGAAAGATTGAAGTCGTGGAGCGGAAAGTACCATCTTCTGCTTTTGTATTGCTCGTCATGGTACACGTCATCAGCTTCTTCCTCCTGCTTGACAACGTAAACGTGATCAGTAACAAATAGTACCTAAAGTTTCTGCAGCACAGGACAACCCAACGCATTGCAACACGATGAAACATAATCAAGACTGCTACAAATCAAAAATCTCAAAAAGTAAAGTAAATAAATACTTAAGGAAATGAAACAACATGAACATAACGTGCCAATGTCGCGAATGAAGCTTGTGTATAAAAGAGCAAAGGGTTACTCAACAATATCAGATTATAATTTTATCTAATTATGCTTGGAACATTTTGATTGATGTTAATTAGATTTACTAATTTAGGATGAAGATTCTCCAATCAGCACCCTCTGATTTTATATAATGAAGAAAATTCCATTTTCAGTCAGTCATTTCCAAGTAAATAAGTACTGTACTAAAGAAAGAATCAGCGTGATTAGCCAACCGTCTATAGGACATTTGTTTAAAGAGTGTTCTATCGGAGACACAGCAGGGGAGTAAGATTTCTACCATAGCGATCCTTATTATTATATTACAATCACCATTAAGGTTTTGTCCTTTGAAAAACTGCCCGTCATCTCTTACAAAATCAAACAAAACAAAGAATTATGGGTCTGGGCGTGTAGACGGGTGTTAGACTGGACTGATGGTCTGCTTATATGGACTTATGAAATCCGGGGTTGAGTTGGACCCCGGTGCCATATCTTTACACATCAATTTTTAGTGAAACCTCAAGGAGATAATAATGAGGCCAGCTAATTTTCTTGGTCAAAGGAGATGGAACAACAGCAAAACTTTAGTAATAGTCATAAATGTTCACTTAGTTAGGTTTGACACTAAGTTTGAATCAACTTCTTAACAACTTTCAAAACAAATGTTATAACTACAAAGAGCCTTTACAAGCTGGCTCGCGGGACCAACATCCATGTAACTGAGAGTGACATTACCGATAAATCCAATATGTAGCTATGCCCACCTCATACACAAAAGCTCCTAATTATGGTTTGTGAGATACAACTAGATAAGGCACCAGCTTATACAACACAAGAGTGCCCCACAAATTGTTATGGCATACACTAACAGCCACAAGAAGCTTGTATTTACTTTATCTGATATCCACAGTTACCATTTAAGAGCAATTATTGATGTTAGCAAGTAGTTACGAGAAAACAACTAAATCACGACGCTTGCAATTACCAATTTCACTAACACAACAAAGTGAAACAAAACAAAAGAACAGTAGAGCAGCTACTTGCCTAGTTCAAGTATAACTCTTTTTGAGCTTGAAATGTACCTGTGAGAGAATACAAAGCAATGACTGCACATGATTGCGCATAATTGAATCACCTATGAAGGTGAATGATTTGTTTCGCATCAAATTGAGGAATTTCTTAGGGCTAAATCTTGGTAGCTCACAGTCTCTTGGATTCCATCTCCAGTTAAGATATTCAGTATCAGGTCTCCCATTTTTCATACAGTTCTGATGAGATTCAATTGAATAGCAAGTCGCGTTCGTGTAAACTGGACCACTTGGATCATAAACCCAATTTCCTATAAATAAATCACATGTTCCTGTAAAGAAAAAAAAAAGACGGTTTGTAAGGACTCATACACTAGTGACCTAAGCTCAAAGTGCAAAATCTATTTTTTTGTACTCAGAGTTGTTCCTTTTTCTGTTACTAAAATTCATGACTACCAGCCAAAGATAATATCATAAAAAATGAATCCACCATCCACGTTTTATATATCCCACTAGAAAATCGTAATAGCTCAGTTGGTTTGGCTACACGAACTTTCAGGTGATTGGTGAGGGTTTAATTCCCAACTTCTAATCCTCTCCCCCTTTTTCTAAAAAAATCAAAAGAATGTTATCTCACTAATCCCTTTTTCATGGAAAATGTTCAGTTTCTCCTTTTTCTCAAGGGATTTTCACAACAAAATTGATGAAAGATTTGTTTCTCTAATACCAAATAAACAAAATCAATCACAAAAACACAGAGAAGTGCATCAAAATTACCCACGTCATTGATTCCACAAAATCCAAAGCATACAAATTACAATAAACTAAAAAAGAAAAAGCAGAGATTTTTCAACTTTCAAGAATCATTTTTTACAAGAACTGATATAGGCATTCATGCATGCCCCAAAAAATAAAAACAAGAAGAAGAATGTTATCTAACCATTTCGCAAAGTTTGGTTTTCTGGAAGATCAACAGTTACCAGAGATTCACTCACAGTCACCGGAGGCTCATTAACAGTCACCGGAGGTTCATTCACGGTCACCAGAGGTTCATTCACAGTCACCGGCGGCAGCGGCAATGTGTTGTCGGAAAACAGAGCTGTATTTTTCACTTCAATCTGAGAGAACTGTTCGAAATTGGACAAGATGAGTCGATAGGCAAGACCCAACAACAGAAAACAAACTGTAAATTTTACAAAAATTAAAGAAAATTGTTTCTTGATAACGTTGGTTCCATTAAAAGCCTTCATAGTTTTTAGTGTTTCTGCACTAGTTGTCACAGAGGTCAAATAGTGTAACGAAAATACTTGTACACATTAAGGTCACTGCAATATTATAATTATATGAAAATAGAAATAGATAAAAAACAAAGATGATGATGGAAAAAATAAAGGATTAAAAAAAAAATTAAAAAAATTGGCAACCAACTGTTACTAGGAAAAATTAAAGAGAGGAAGGGGGTCGTTGGAAATTAGGCAAAGTTACACAAAAAGTACAAAAAAAGAAGAGAAAAGGGTACAAAGGGAATAAAGTGGGCTTCACTTTAACAGTATGGTGCAGCCCATTGTGTGCTCAATGCTCATATTCGCGTTACGCTTTCTCATAAAGACGATTTTATATTTAACTATCAGGCGAAATCAAATTCAAGGCTTATGAATGTAGATTTGGTTAAAAATTGAAAAGATTATTTATTTAAATGGAAATTAAGTGGTATTTTCTTTTTAAAGTTAAGAGTGTGTTTGACATGCATTTACTTGAAAAAAATTGTTCTTTTGTATGACCAGATAATATTTTGATTTATTTATTATTTATTTTTTGCAAAAAAAGAAAAAGGAATTCTATGAATGTTTTGATTAGAGATAAAGTTTAATGTGTTATTAGTGTATGTTATATGTTGATAGATGTAGATTTTTTTCAGTAAAGTAATAATTTTGTAAAAGTTATATCGTATCAAAATTTAAGATTTAAAAGTTATGAAGATTGTATATAATATATGTACATTTAAATGGAAATTTAAAGAAGAAAACGTTAAAAGAAAAAAAGTGGGGATTATTCTTGTGCTTTGGAGATTCTTTAACATATATTATGGCTTTTCTTTTCTCACATTTTTCTTGGTTGGGTTGTGTATAATTGTCATTTAATCAATTAAATATAGAAAAATTGAATAACATCTTTTGAAAAACTATTTTCATCTATACCAAACACACCCTAAGAATAAAGTTGTTTGGGTTTGAAAATGACAACTTATATGTCAATAATGTCGGTAACACAGAAAATATTGTTATAACAACTATATTTTGTTACAAAAAAATGTTAAATTTTTTCATAATAGAGAATCGAAGTATTTAGATTTATCATAAATAATTATTTTATACATAGTATCAAAAAAGTATATCACTCGTGAAATAAGTATATAGGCTTGGTTTAGGGTGCCGTAAGATTATGATATACTAAATTTTTTTTCTTATAATTGTCAAAGATAATAGATATTATTATGTCCAATTAATGTTTACATCAGCTCTAAAATCGAATAGATTTTACACTAGAAAAGGCAAAGGTATCCATATTAGCGAGTTTCTATAGACTATTAAAAATTTAGACAAATTTAGTAAACTTCAAATCATTTTTCATTAATGGTGTTGCTTTTTCTTCATTTTCATACATTCAAAATTTATAAATTTTACTTGTTAGAACATAACTTCTGCTTGAAAGTCTAGCTTTTAAAATTTGATCAATTTTATACTCGGGGTGATCAAATTTTATTTATAAATTGTTTGTATGTACCAAATTACTTAAAACTTGTGGGTACTATATTTCTTGTTCAAAAAAAGTTATGAATTGAATTTTACATTTCTCCAACCAAAATGATTTTTCTTCTGGGCAAACAAAGTTATACGAATGATAAACATTCCTTACTTTCAACCATAAAATTGTGAACGTGGAGAAATGTGAAAGTTCCAAGAAAAAAGCAAAAGGCTAATCATAGTTTAATCTATGTGATTAAAGAAAAGATAAACAAATTCAATAAAGGGGTGGACCACTTCTTCTTTTTTCCAGCAATTTTCTAAGAATGGAGTAATAACCAATGGAAATGTCTCTGACTCATAAACTGATCCATTTTTCTTTTGTTTTCTATTTCCCAGATAGGCAGAAACAATTGTTTGCGTTGGTACAAGAAATTAGGGGTATTTATGATTCGATTTTTATCAAAAATTTAAAAAATAACTTTGGAGACCATTATATTTGTTTGAAACAAGAGGCTTATAGATTCTATAGTCTCAATTAGTTGTACACTAAGATATAGTTTTTTTCTTAAATTAATAAAGGTGCAATTCAAGATCTAAGTTGTGAGATCATCGTGATATTACGATTAGGCAAATCTTGCTAACTTTATTAGGGAATAAAGACATCCCTTTCCAACTAATAAATCCAACACAGTTAAAGATTATTCGCAGCTTTCTGGCCAATTCCTTATTATCTACTTTAATTATTTTTCAGCAAAATTCATACTATAATTTATATCTTTATTTTTTTTGTTCTTATGAAATTTAATGAGATTGGACAGCATTAAAGAGCATTGCACGTGAAGCGGAGTGCTCAAATAACTTTTGATAGGATAAAGTGATCTAAATGCACTCTCTTTCTCTAAAAATTATATTATATACAAATATTAAATATTAGGTATTATAAATGTATTTATTGTTTTTACACTCTAAACATAATTGAGAAGAAAATTTGCACATCTATAGTCAAATTTCTAACTCCGTCTATGTTAAATGCATTGTAATATTATTTAACGTAGGGTAGTTTAAAATATTATTTTAGTGTTCCCAAAAACTCTGTGTTATCCACTACCTAAACTATAATTTTGTTTATAAACATTAAAGTTATCCCAAAGTAAAAAAAAGAAAAGAAAATAGAACATATGAAAAAAATACATAACTAAATGAAAATTTGAGTTTAATCTATAATTGTAACAGAAGATCCTACACATTTGCAATCCAACTTCAGTTCAATCTTTGTTTAGAAGTGAATTAAGCAAGATGTAATTTTTCTTTTATAAGTTAAATGAAACAAAGATCCCTAAATATACTTGTTGTATCAGTATAGGTTAAGCCCATTTGAAGGCCCACTACTAAATATGATGGGCTTATGTTATAGGGCCCACATTCCTTCATCTCATTCTTTGTCCCTCTATGGCTGCCTATTTTCCATACCACCAATCATTGAATTGGTCCTATTAACAGTTTTTGCCACCACCAATATTCTTTTCCAAATACAGAATTAATTTTCACATCCAATCCAGATGGCAATTCAAATTTGTTTAGAAAAGAATAAGGACAAATTATTTAACTACACTCCTTTACTTACCTTAATATCCATTTATCCTTACTTATTTCAAAATTTTCAAAAATCCCTTATTTACCTATGTATCCCGCATGTATCCCGTGCACAACGTTATGTATCCCCCTATGTGGAATGTATCAAACGCTATGTATCCCGCTAAGTAGAATGTATCAAACCTAATGTATCCCGTGCACAACGCTATGTATCCCGCTATGTGGAATGTATCAAATCTAATGTATCCCGCAAACATCATTTTTAAGAGATTTTTGGTAAATAGAAAACTAAAAGGAATAAGATGTTATTTAGTACTTATAATATGTGGTTCCTATAATTTATACAAAGAATAATAACTCATTATCATCATATCATATGGATATTCAATTTTTTTAATCATCTTTAAGCAAAGATTTCTAAATGTACTAGGGGTATGACCCGTGTCAGCACGAGCCCAACCTGAAGGACGTTTTGAGTATTTTTTTTGAACAAGCATTTTGATTAATTATTGATCAAATCAAAGTTAAGTACATCATGAATCAAAGATGGGGATCTATTATCCACTGCATAGCATCCGTCATAGAACCTGAAGCCCGAGCTGACGGGTGGGCACACTGGTTTGCTGATCTCTTAATGAAAGACAAGGAAACCACGCATGAGTGCTTTACAATCATGAATTATAGCATCAAAGTAAGATTTGTTTCCGCAGGTTTTTTCAAGTGCTTGTTTAACCAAAAGATTGTCCATCTCTACAATTATCGGTGTAGGCGGTGTAGCTGCAAAGTTTTCCTTTAACCAGCTTAGTGCTTCTCGAACCCCCAAAGCCTCGGCCATAAGTGAGTCATATTGTCTACCTAACAGACTAGAGCGGACTCTGATGAAGCTTCCTTGAGAATCCTGAACTAGCATGCTGACAATTATTCCTGAAGCAAGATCCCAAGAGCCATCAATGTTGTATTTAAAGATATTCTCACCAGGAGGAAACCATTTTGTTGCAAAATCAGGTTCTATAGCAATGAAACTGGAGGTTGGTATTCTTGCTTTAGTCCAATCTTGCCAAAACCGGGATGCCTTTTAGATAACAATTTCAGGCCGTAAAGATCTTCCCTTCTACACAAGGTTATTTCTAGCATTCCAAATCTCCCATAGGATCATGATAGCTTCATGTAATTGATCAAGAGTCACGATATCAATCAACGACTTAAGCCCATCCAAGAGCAAGGTCCAGATTGTCGCCATCACAATGATGATTTCATCCAAACTTGTTTTGCTACATTGCACTCGATTAAACAGTGCAATATTGTTTCTGTCTCTTGGAGGCATGCCGGACATATGCCGGATTGAGAATCTTCTTATTCATTAAGTTATCACCAGTTGGAAGAACACCAATCAAAGCTCTCCAAACAAAATTCAACACCTTAGGAGGCGTCTTCAATTTACAGATTTTCCACCAAACTTGTCCATTCGGGATAGGTGTAGTAGCATTGTGCAGCTCTGAATACCCACTTTTGACGGTGTATCGTCCTTTCCTATCAAGTTTCCACATCCATTGATCATCCCAGAGAGTAAATCCCAATGGAATTCACTTAATGCAATCTATCTCATCAATTGAGAAGAGTGTCTCCAACTTGTGAGTATTCCAAGTTCTTGTATCCCAATCAATAATATCTGCCACACGCAACTCCAACAAGTCTTCATCGGGGGTACTGTGAATAAACAATGATTGTCCCACCGGTAACCATGGATCATTAAGGATTTTAAAATCGAGTAAATGCCAAACTTTGGAAGGATGGCAGGTTTACAGTAAAGACATGCTATAACAATCTTTTGTGGAGAATAAGAGGCAAAATGTGGTAGTTGGCCATGGAGATTCTTTCTCATGATGTCGACCAAATTCTTGAAATATCTAGGGATTCCTTTGTTGACACTTCTTTTATGAGCAGAGCTCTTCTTCTAAGAATATAGTGGCTGATAGCTTTGTTAATTCTTTGATCAAACATCCTAAAATAGTATATATTGCGTCATTGTCCGAGTGAGATTTATCCCAAGAGATAAAGGAATGAACTGTGTCTCCTACATATACCCAACTGCAACCCGCAGTTTTCTTGGCTTCTCTTCCTCTCATCATCTTCATTACCCTCCCCATCTCATTCCATTTCCCTTCCGAGGCATAGATACCAGCCAACTGCGCGTATCTAGACCCGTTCCCTCCTTCAATTTGCAATAGCTTATCCTCTGCAGCTTTTGCAAGTTCAGCATTTCTGTTCATTTTGCAAGCATTTAGGAATGTGCCCAGAATTACAGCATCTGGTTCCATGGGCAACATCTCCATTAAGCTTACAGCGTTGTCAAGTTGATTTGCCCTTCCATACAAATCGATCATGCTTGCGTAGTGATCAGTTCCTGGTGATATATTGTAATCTTTGGTCATGGAAAAGAAATACTCTTCTCCTATTTTTACTAATCCACGGTGCCTGCAAACTGATAGAAGGGCAAGGAAAGTGACTTCATCAGGTTGGAAACCTTGCTCTGTCATCTGACTGAAAAGCTGAATAGCTTCATTTTCATACCCATGGAGAGCATAACCAGCTATCATACTATTGTACAGGATAGTATCTCTATCAACAGACAATTGAAAAACCCTCTGTGCATATGCTACATTTCCACTTTTTGAGTATGTATCAACCAATGAATTTGCCAACTTAGCATCCATTGCGGTGGCAATTCTTAGTATACAGGCATGTATTTGCTGCCCGTAATTAAAGGTTGCATGTATGGCGCATGCGCCAAGCAGGTTTATGAAAATCAGTTCATCAGGAACAGTTGTTTTCTGTGTCATTAACTCTCTGAAAAGCTGAAAAGCATCTTCACATTGATGTGCTTTCACGTATCCAGATATCATAGCAGACCATACTACATGATTCTTATCAGGCAATGAGTCAAAAAGCCTTCTTGCTTCTAACATATTCCCCGTTTCTGAATATCCTACGATTAATGGTGTGACGGCAAAAGGGTTGTCTTTCTGAGTCGTTGTACAAACAGAATGTGCATAATTTAAGAGACCACACTTGCAATAAAGATTTACGAAACTACTGCTAAGAAATGGATTCAAACTCATCCCTTCCTTCAAAATCGAGGCGTGAATCTCCTTCCCAAGTTTCAAATTCTTCACACCAGAACAAGCACTTACAACGCTAGAAAAACTGTGTTCATTCCATTTAAATCCCTCCTCCATCATGCTCCTGAACAACCGGATGGCCTCCTCTTCATACCCGTTTTGGGCAAAACCTGAAATCATTGTGTTCCAAGAAACTTCATCATTCAATTGTGGCCTAGTTGAAAACACATCCCGAGCCATTTCCACCTCACCTTCTCTAAAACAAGCTGCCACCATAGTATTCTTGGAAACCGTGTCAACAAACCTAACCTCAGATCCATCAAAGACCCTCCAAGCATCTCTGAAACACCCGCATTTTGAATACATAACAATCAAAGAACTTAGTGAATACCTACTTAAACTATTCCCACTCTTCAACATATATGAATGCAATTGCCTACCATATGACAAAAGACTCAACTTTGTTACTAAACCAAGCATGGTAGTCAAGGCATATTCAGATACTTTGTCAGCAAATTGCATTTCAGCAAATAATCGAACTGCTTGATCCTGAAATCCTTCAGAATTGACATAACCAGACAGCATTGTATTGTATGTCACACAATCCTTTAAGGGAGCAGCATTAAAAAGCGATCTTGCTTTAGCAAAGTTTTGATCTTTAACATAGGTGTTTATAATAGCATTCCAAGTGAAAATATTTCTTTCAGGCATTTCATCGAACACTTTCTGGACATCATGAATAAGAAAGTGCTTTGAGTATATATGAATAAGATGGTTGACATCAATGATTCTTGGGGTTAGACCCGATTTGATGATACTGGTTTGAAACTTGGCGCAGTCTAACAGTGATTTCATTTTGAGTATTGGCGGGAAAGAAAGCCAGTGTGGCGCCAAGAGTTGGGCTGAGGGTTAGAGTCACTCTGGAGTATTAGCGAAAACACTATTGATGAGGATTCGAATCAATAGGTAAGCGAGAACACTCTTTAAGTAATTCTTTTGAAGTAGGATGAAATGAAAACCACGTGTGTTTGTTACTACTATTTTCGTATCAAGTATATGCACATCAAATCTTTTATAAAAGGACTTTATAACTTATTAACATCATATCATATATAATATACAAGTACCAACTTTGTACTATCGAATGATCTATAGCTAAGATTTAGTATATATATTTTATCATCATTTTAAACGTGAAATATTGTTTAATAGATACATTTTGGACAAAACATTAGGTGTTTAATAAGTAAGAATCTCAATTAAAGTGTCTAAATAAAAAATCGTGTCAATTTTAGGTATTTGTACGTATTAAGCCAAAATATTTTTTTGCTATTGAAAATCTCTTAAAAGGAAATAGTAATTTTAAAGCATACAATGGAGATTAATAACTAAATCCCCGTGTTAGTAATTGTAGTATTTAGTACAACAAACATTTTGCTTTAATTTAAACAGAGTTCACAAATTAGAGAAAATATCTGCATTAAAGCTAGAAAGCTAACAGTGCAAAGGAGTTGTTTTAATACTACAATATTTGCACAACCATATAGCCATGATTCAGTAGCCAGACCAGCTTTCTTTAATACTACACAAGTGCACACAGCAACTACATTTTAATGAATTTACATTGACAGAGAAGAAGTAGAAGGAAGTATATAGATCTGTAAGACACAAATTTCTCACTGGCACGCGACAAAATAAAAATAATCTAAATTCCATTTTACATGTCTCCTTCACAGTAACCTAACATTCACCTGTCAGGCACTGCAGCTCCAGATTTTCCGTATACTGTAAGAAGCCTCCTAGCAAGGCCAAACTCTTTTTTATGGTAGTTATGCTTCTACTTTTGGAGGTCTCATGCCAAAACCACGCTTTGCTTTCTCAACGCTGAAAAAGAAGTGTTAAGTTAGCACAGCCTGAAATCAAAATATAATTCAAAATGTTCTGTAATTTTGAGAAATGGATAATATCATAAAAATGTGCAGGATCATTATAAATTTCCACAGCAAAAGTAAAACTAGGCATAATCGAAGGGCTTAGTGAGGATAGTGAAACGGTATTAGGAAACTAAAAACCCAAGATTCATGCCAGCTAAATGCTAATAGTACCAATAATTTCATTATCATTTTCTCCATGTCAGTAGTGGAACTCTGGAATAGCAGAAACCTATATGTTTGGTTGAATGTCAGAACAAGCATGTGCCATGACAACGAAGGATAGACAAAGCTTTTTTTTCCCTGGCTAAGTGCCATTCATAAAATATGAAAGGTTGAAGCAAGAAATAAGGAGCAACGATCAAGACTACAATGTATATTAGCTACATCTTAAGGCAGCAATGTATCATGTTATCATAGGTCTACAATAAACAGTACATCAGTTATATATCTTAATCATTAATCTCAACTGTAAGGTGTCTGGGAAACGGTAAGTGAGCATGTTTGTGTTGCATGTGGGGTTCAATATGAAATTTTTTAGAGCAGTATGTTAGTGTATATAGCTACCACAAAGTAGGCCAGGGGTCATTCAACCACAACTGAGACAGCAATATGAACCTTTACGGAGCAATATGAACAACTAACTGATCACGAGAAAGAATTATTGAAAACTTAAAGCTATCGTAGAATTGATACTCACGTCGGAGCAAGTTTTCCCAGGCTCTCTAACTCTTCACCAGAATCCTCATCAAGGACTCTGCCAGAAATTTCAAGAATATAAGACCCGTTTCTGTCAGCTGGAAGGCCTCTACTCGCAAGCAACTTCAGATCCTTTGGGTTAAGCTCTCTCCCATTGACAAATACTCCAGTACTTCCACCAGCACAGTTTTCAGGCATGGGATAGTTAAATTCTTCAATAAATGGCTGCAAAAAGAATAGTTATAGTATGGGAAAGCATAACAAAAGCAGGAGAATACAGGCTACAAGTATCTACTGGAAAATAGTAAATCTTACAGGGATAATGCCCAAACAATGACCACCAATCACTCCCCAAAATCCAGCTCGAAAATCATACCTAGCACAGGAAATTAAGTCAAGAAGCAATATACTCGTAACTGTGATTTTAGGATAAACCAAAATGTGGTACAAGACTAGGTAAAGGGAATCTATGCAGCTGAATAAATGTAGACCAATTGACTGAACCGAACCATCAAAAAGAGGAACCATCTTACTAATTTAAGTAGAACTAAACCCACAAATCATGTACATTGTCAAATGATCAATACTACATTGGAGTTTTTTCCCAGGTATTTATAAAAAAAAAAAATCAGTATCTCAGAAACAATAGTGCTATATGCATATCGTGATATTACTTCCAAGAGGTTCCATTCAGAAGATTTGACTAATGTAATTTCTCATTGTAACTATGCAACTTCTGCACGATCATACTTACCGAATGGATTTTATGTTGCAACTTGGTTAATGAAATTCTACGAAATTGTATTAGATTAAATAGGAAAATCATAGTCTCTTATGAATATTTCACCAAGCAAACTAGAATTACATAGAGCTTTATTTGACCACCGCCCCCCCAAAATCTAAATGAATAAATAAGGAAACAGATTTATGAAATAGTCACTTATGCTATTTCTGGCCTCCTACATGTACATCAGCAACAAGATAAATGCAAGAGTAAAAGACATCGTGTTTAAACAAAAAGAATGAACATGTTGAATAATTGAAGGTCTGGTCACTTACCAGTAATGTCCAGGTTGTATTGGTCCAGCACGCTTTTCTGCCCTTTTAATCAACCGATCTGGTATAAGATGCCCATTAACTGTAATATTGGCCTTTTCCCCATCGGAAGAATCAGATCGGCTGAATTCTTTAAAACTGTTCTTTATAATGCCAGAGAAAAATGATGCTTTAGTGGCTTTCAGCTGGTCTCCTTCTTTACTATATACACCAGACCCTAAAGACGAGCTAGTGTTACCATACTCATTAGACGGTATGTCCATCTCAGTTGCTACAGCTAAATCTTTAGTGGAGTTTTGCTCTGAAGTAATCTTTTTCTGCATCAGCTTCTCTGCATCTGAGCGCGTACTTCTGTTTCCATGATCCAGCCGGTTGGCAACATGAAATTTGTTAGAATGGTCAAAGTACTCTTGCAGTGGTGAACCAGCTGGTGGTGGAGATTCTTTAACCTTCATTGGCAGCTCAGAGTCAGACTTTTCCATTGTTGCAGCAAATTTATTGAGGTTGTCCTCTTCCCTTGAACTGCGTGAAGATGTAGAACAAAGGCTTCTCATCTCAGCAGATTTAAGGGAACTTCCATGGCCTGTTGATAGTGACGTAAGTTCTTGATCCATTGCATGGAAATCATATTTAGAAGTATCGTAATCTTCAGAGGAAAAGGTCATGCTAGGACGGTTTGTATGTCCATTGGAGTATCGATTCCCTTCATTCAACATGACTCTTTGCTGATGACCCGTCTTTTTAGTGCTTTTATCTATTCGTTCATCAATAGAAACAGTCAGTTTATTGTCTGAAACTGCAATAACCATAACTGCAGAACATGACCCACATTTCATTTTTTGCCTTTTACCACCATGAAAAACTTCCTTAGGTAATTGCAGCAGCTGAAAACAATTGAAGCACGTTAAAAATGGGGCTCCACCAGCCACAGGTAGACATAATTGTCCACTAGGCTGACCCCTGGGAGGAAGTCGACGAGCAAAACCACCTACAGCAGCATTCAGGTCACCAGAATGAGCCCTTTGTGATTGAGGATTCTGCGGCTTTAACGGAAGAGGATTGGCATTTCGAGGATTATAATCTTGCTTACCAAATGCACCACTATTTTGATGACGGTAGAACATTGTGTTCTGTGAAATGTCAGAGATCCTTTTCTCACCAAAAGCAGTGGGTGGACCTCGTCTACGGACTTGATTTAAGTTGCAGCAGTGAAAACAATTGCAAGATGGATGATGAAGATTAGCCTGAGGCGGGTAAGGTCGATAGGGATCTGTAGGTGGGATTTCATTGTCCATTGACCGCCCAGAAAAACGGGAATGAGAGGGCTGCAATTGAAACGGAGCTAGGGCTTCGTATGGATCTCCACCAAGCAACTGGGACCTTCGTGGACCTCCATATCCCTGGATACGGTCTCTAGGAGGATAAAATCCACCGCCAGCCATGTCATGAGAATTCATAAAAGGCGAGGGCGCATTGTAGTGGTTCAGGTAGGGAGGTCTTTCACCAGAAACATGATTTTGTGCCAAAGCTCCATTCAAGATCCTAGTAGAGCTTTCAGGAAACCGATCAACGGGATTTCCATAGCCTTCATGATGAGCCATCCTCCTTTCAAGTGGGACTCTTTCGTTAGGCAACTCAGACACATCACCAAACCGACTGAGCTGCTCTTTTAGCTCATCAAACTTTCTCAATAGCTCTGCTCGCTCATCAACTGGACAATCAACCTGACTGAACTCATCCACATCCTTCCTATACAACCTCTTATCATTATCATAATTTGAACCCGACCAGTAGCCAGAAGGACCCTCTTCTGAGTTAACGGAGGACGCGTACCTCATACCTTCAGGATCAAATCTTCTTGCCCTGGGCAACACCTCTGCCTCACTTCTCTCCTTACTTCTCCAATCTGGAACTCTACCTGTTCTTCGGGATTCAATTTCTTTTCCGTTCCGGGAGTCAGAAAGTTCAAATTCTTTAGCCATATTTTCTTGAATTTGTTCATCCTGATTGGACCCATCCACATCCTTCCTGTACAACCTCTTATCATTATCATAAATCGATCCTAAAGAGTAGCGCAATGGACCCTCTTCTGAGTTAATGGAGGATGATAACCTCATACCTTCACGATCAGCTCTTCTAGACCTAGACAACACCTCTGTCTCAATTCTCTGCCTACTACTCCTATATGGAGTAACT